TAATTATCAATGCATCCTGATTGCATGTTCAGTCAATTTCAGACTGCAGAAGCTGGTAAGAATCTTCAGTTTCTTCATCTTTGGCCTTAGTGGTTGGTGCGTAAATTTGAATAATAGTCATATTAACTGGTCTTCCTTATAGGCATGTGGATATTAGCCTATAACTGACAGTGTTGTACTTCAGGATAGATCTTGACAGAATTGACAGACACGTGGGGGAGAAATGCCTGGAGTCCTGTAAACACATGTATTATTACTCAAGTACACATGTATAAGATTTTATCACTCTCAAGGGACAAACGCCCAGTTGGTAACACTTGGCGACAAGATTAGTCACAGAATTTTAAAGCTAGTCACCTAAATACATACCCTTGTTTTAGAAGTGTGTTGTTTCATTTCCGAGGGTTTGAAAATTTTTCTGTTATCTTTCTGGTAATGATTTCCAGTGTGACTACTATATGGTGTCTACAAGAAATGAGTTTCTTGTAGACAGCATATAGTTGGATTATCTTTTTAAATTCATTCTTCCAATCTCTGTCTTTTAATTGGTATATTTAGACCATTTATATTTAATGTAATATTAATATGGTAGGATTTAAGTCTTCCATTCTATTATTCTTTTATTATTTGTTTTCCTCTGTTACTCCTTTCCTGACTCCCTAAGGGTTACTTGAACCTTTTTTTCTTAACAATTACATTTTGATTTACCTTAAGTGTTTTCAAGTATATTTCTTTGTATAGTTTTTTTAGTGGTTACTTAAGAGATTACAATATACATATGTAGTTTATTGTACTTTGCTAGTGTCAACATTTTACCACTTCAAGTGGAATCAATCCTCCCTTTATGATATGGAGTCCTGGTGGCGCAGTGTTTAAGAACTCAGCTGCTAACCAAAAGTTTGGCACTTCGAATCCATCAGCTGCTTCTTGGAAACCCTATGGGGCAGTTCTACTCTACCCTATAGGGTCGCTATGAGTTAGAATTGACTCCATGGCAACAGGTTTTATTTCTTATTTTTTAAAAGATACGGTTGTCTTAAATATTGCTTCTACATACATTGAAAACCACATCAGACACTATTATAATTTTTTCTTCTAACTGTCAAATATAATTTTAAAAACTCAAGAGGAGAATAGTCTATTGTGTTTACCTATTTCTTTACCTTTTCTGTTGTTCTTTCTTCATTCCTGATGTTCCAAGCTTCCTGCCATTATAATCTCCTTTCTCTATGAAGAGCTTTCTTGAGATTTTATTTTTTTAGAATAGGTTTTCTGTAAACAAGTGCTTTTAGCTTTCCTTCATCTGAGAATATATTTATTTCACCTTCATTTCTGAAATATGTTTTCGCTGAATATGGGATTCTGGGCTCACAGCTCCATTTTTTTTCAATACTTAAAAATGTTGTGCTACTTCCTTCTGGCCTCCATGGTTTCTAAGGAGAACTTTTTTTCTCATTAGAATTGTGGTTCTCCATAGGTAATTAGCTGTTTCTCTCTGGATCCTTTCAAGAATTTTAATTTGTCTTTAGTTTTCCAATATTTGATTACGATGTGTCTTGGTGTGTATATCTTTGCGTTTATTCTGTTTCAGATAGATTTACTTGGATTTATCCTGTTTGGGTTCACTTACATACTTCTGAATGTGTAGGTTTAGGTCTTTAGCCAAATTTGGGGACTTTTCAACCATTATTTCTTCAAATATTTTTCTAACCCACATTTCTTTCCCTCTCCTTCTTGGATTCTCGGACTCTGGTGATACTAATGATACAAGATAGTGTATGATTAAATATGTGGTGTAAACTCCTAGCAATCTAGCAATCAAATGAGATATCAGGAGATAAGATTACTACCAATGGGAAACCCTGGAGATAACCTGTGAGAATAAATCAGGCTAACTTTAAAGAAATGTTTGGCATGTGGTAAAGTGGACTGATTGGAACAGGAGATTGTAAATAAGGAAAGAATGGCATAAGCTAAAACATAGTGAGAGGACAATGAAGAAACTGGCCTATTTGTATGGGACCTTTTCTTTTTTCTCTACTTGAAAAACTTTCTAAGGTGGCTATATGACTTATTATAATTGTATGTATTTGAGAGAAAGATCATATCAAACTAAAGTGGGAGAAAGTACAGATAGTTGGATAAATGATTAGTTAGGATGTATATCCAGTTGCTGTAGAAAAGGAACCCCAAAATACAGTGGCATAATTAACACTGAAATTTATTTCTCTCTCACAGATGAGTTCAGAAGTAGGTGGGCAGTTCAGGATAGGGAGGCTGCTCTGTATCATAAGATCATCCAAAAACTCAGGTGCCTTCTATCTATTACTCTGCTCCTCCATCAACACCGTTATGTCTGATCCCTTTATCTACTTAACTTTCTCCCATCAAATAATTTTTTGTACAGAATGATAATAAGAACTGGGTATTTATCTGTATCCTTCATTAGATTGTGAGCTTCTTGAAGTTAAAGACTTGTTGCATTCCCAGCACCTGGCCTTGACCTACCATATAGTTGGTGTTCCTTAACTAATCTTAGGTCATTAGTCCCTGAGGTTTACCCTTATTGAATGTTCTAAATTAGTAAAGAGATTATTTTGCAAGGCCCAGGCATCCAGCAAGATGAACTCAACAGTCTGCTTGATTTGTATCTGATATATTACTGCCATTTCTTAGGAGCAAAGGCATGTACTGTGGAGGCAGACCAACTTGTGATTGAATCTTGGCACTGCCTCTACTAGCAAGATAGGACACACTATGCTAGAGATGAATGAAGATTGATAGAGGAAACTGGGCCAAAGGAATGATGGAAGGATTGAATCCTGCCTTGGTCTTTAACATGGGAACAGGGTGGAAGTATGAGACTGGTATCATTGTATTCGCTGTGATGGGGATGATATAGGTCCAGAGCTCTAAGGATGACATGGTGAAGTGTAATTGTATGAGGACTGGGGAGGAAGGACCAGAGCCACCTGGAGGGAATAGAGCCCTTCTGTTGGATACCCCTACCTGCAGCTAGACATACCTAGGCACACAAGAAGCAGAGGCGATCTCTACTTGGATAGAGTCATCTCTTGCATAGACAGATTTAGAAAGACTTTGATTAATGACCATTCAATGTTACTTATCCCACACTTGCACATGCCTGCACACTTGTGCATACTTATGAACACAACTAAACACTCTTCCATTCACTCTCATTTTCTCTCTCTTGCTGTTTCACTCTCACTAAACTCTAAGGTTCTGGAGCCATCTCAGGTTCATTTCTTTGTCCTCATATCTTACATAATGCATGGCCACTTCCCTCCACCACTCATTAGCTTTGTCGCCTTGGCTAAGCTGCCTCATTATTCCTTTTCTGAAAAATGAGAAAAACCATTACTACTGTAGGGTGGCTGTGAGATTACATGAGACAAAAGGTGAAAAGTGCTTTAACATGGCGGGCAGTGATGTGGCTGTCTTTGAGCACGAGTGTCTTCCTCCCACACATCCCTGTGCTCTCTTCCTCGCTACTGCAATGGGTGTGCTTCCACATTCCCTGCACACAGAGCGCATTCAGTTCTCAGAGACTTGCTGAGTGGCTGGGTGACAGGCACCAGAAAACAAAGTGCCTTTCTTATTGCTACTCTCAATCTTCCGTACAGAACCTTTGAAGGAGGAATAGCTTCCCCCTCCTTTATAGTTGGAGAGCTGAGGCTCAAAGTGAAGCAACTTGCCCAACAACCCACAGCTAGTGAACCACAGAGCCAGATTGACATATAACTCCAGAGCTAGAATGCTTTTCTCCATACCTGGCCCCAGCCCTTAAGACCGGGCCTTTCAATGGCCCTTAAGATAGCCCTTAACTTTCCATTATCTAGTACATGTCAAGGAATGGGACATTGTCTTCTGCTTAAACAGATATTCTGATTTACTAAAAATTCATGTTTGCTACACCAGACTTAGAGTAACCATAACTCAGCCTTCTTTTGTAGGGTCAGTGTGCTGAAACCTTGTATATTTATTCACAGTTATACCCTCAGTGGCTGGTTCTAGGAACACTTAGTTGGTACTCACTCAATTCATGCTTGTTGATAAATGTTTCTGAAAGAACTTCCCAATCCTGTAGTGAATTGCATTTGAGTCTAGTTTAGAGAAGAAGGAGAAAAGGTGACAGAGAGCAACACTCCCATCAGACTACAGGTCAGATTTTTGAAAGTAGAAGTGGTCATAGTAATCAGTCTTTGAAGTCCACATTTTCTGGAGTGTGAAACTAAGACGCGTAAAGGTAAAAGAGTTTGCTACATAGTAATAGAAAATCTGTGGCACACTGCAGAATGAATATTTCTGCTCTGTCTGAGTCAGTTGGCTGCACGCATGCATGTGCACACAGACAAAAATCTACCTTCAATACAAGCCCTTGTAACTACACACCCATAACCTTCATTCCTGCATACACAGACATGTGCGTATTCAACTGTGACTAACTATTTTTCAGTTTGTGAAGAAATATGGGAAACTGTTAAGCCTGGATTTCAGGGCCATGCATACTGTTCTTGTATCTGGATTGCCCTTAATCAAAGAAGTCCTTGCCAACCAGGACCAAAACTTTGTGAGCCGCCCCAGGACTGCTGCCGGAGAGCGTGTCTTTAAGACACACGGTAAGTTTCTTGACTAATGTTAAGATATGTGTGTTTGATGTTGTTATAGGCTGTTAAAGGTGTCTTTGTGACTATAATTCTTCCACATTCCCAGAAACCAGGCCTATTATAAAATTCCTGTCATTAAAGGAAGCTGGATTCTACCAAGACCTTCACCGGACTGAGTCCGGTACAGCTAGATGGTGCCCGGCTACCACCGCTGACTGCTCTGACCAGGATCACAACAGAGGGTTCTGGACAGAGCTGGAGAAGGATGTAGAGCATAATTCTAACTCACAAACAAAAAAAAAAAAAAGACCAGATTTACTGGCCTAAAGGAGACTGGAGAAACCCCGAGAGTATGGCCCCCAGACACCCTTTTAGCTCAGTGGTAAAGTTACCTTCGAGGTTCACTGATCAGCCTGCGAGTGGACAGCCCAGTAAAACCATGAGAGTAACGAGGTACAGGAGTCCAGTGACAAGGCCCAGAAGGCAGAAGGGGAGTAGGAAGCTGATGATAGGGAACACAAAATAGAGTAAGGATATTGTTGATGTGTTGTGAGATTGTTAACCATTGTCATAGGGCAACATGTGTAGTAACTGTTAAATGGGAGACTATTTTGTCCTGTAAGCCTTCATCTTAAGTGAGAATAACAGCACAATTAGAAGAGCGTAGTCAATGTCACTTAAATGTGTATGTAAAAAAAATTTTTGAAATGGAATATCTTTGGCTATGCGTATTTTCACAAAAAAAAAAAAAAAGTTGAGAATTTAGAGGGTTAAAATGTTGTGGGGTTGTTAACCAATGTCATAAAACAGCATGTGTGTTACTGTTACATGAGAAACTATCTGTTCTGTAAGCCTTCACCTGAAGTACAATAAAATATTAAAAATTAAACAATAAATAAAAAAAAAAAAAGGAAGCTGAATGTCCATGTTCCTCAATTGAAGGCACCCACTCTGAGGATATGGCAGTCTTAATGTCAGGGATTTGAGAGAAGCTGCACCTGCTGCAGAAACTCACTCTGGATATTTTGATAATCAAGTAACCACATCACTCCATGAGAGCACTGGAAGAGGCAACGCATTCTCTCATGCTGCTTTCCCATTCCCAACTTCTTCCCTTTGGAAAATGGATGTGGATCTGCAGCCTTCTGCTGCTCGTCTACTTCCTTCTTCTTGCCTCTACTTCCTTGTGCGTCATCATCAAGGTCATGACAGACAGCGTATCTCAAGTCTTCTAGTCTATCACAACCCAAAACATGTCAGAACAGGCTGATGTGAATATTTTAAATTATTAAATAAACTTAAACATCTAAAATTTAAAATGAAAAAGTCAAATCTATTACTTTATCAAAGCACCATTGTTTTCTTCAGGTGCTTCACAATCCCTCTTTGAAATATTTCATCCGTTCACTCCATGTCCATTCAGTGTATTTATTAATTACCTGCCATGTGAAGCACTGTGCTAGGCACAAGGGATATAATGGTGAGAATTGACAAAATCCCTGTCCTTATGTAATTTACATTCTACTCGGGGAGAGACACAGTACCAATTAGTTCTGATTTAAAGCTTACAGTGCTATGAAGATAAATGCAGGGTGCACTCACTAGAGGTATCTAATCTAGTGCAGGATTCAGGGAAGGCTAACCTAAGGAAGTGACAATTGAATAAGGTGAAGAGAGAGGAGAAGAAATCAGGCAGAGGGAATAGCATATGAAAAGCCCCTGAGGTGGGGAGAAGGACAGTAGACCAGAGGACTTGAAAGGTGGCCAATTTGGTGAGAGCACAGAGATTAAACGGAGGTAATGGCATGAGTTGAATCTGTTGAGCTTGGCCAGAAATCGCTCGTGCAAGTTCTTATTAAGGATTTTGGTTTTTATTCTAATAACAGTGGAAGCTATTGAATGATTTTTAGTAAAGAAGGAAGTCATCATATATACATCATGTATGCCCATTTAGGCTGCAGAGTAGAGAATGGAATAAAAGGAGCAAGAGTAGATGCAGGGAGATGCATTTAAGAGTTTATTATAGCATTCTCGGTTAGAGACAGTGCTAGCTTGGACTAGGGAAGTGGCAAGAAATGACAGTAGGTCAGACCAGAATGGTGACAGTGAAGATGCATGAATTCAAGATATTCAGGAGGTAAATCCAATAAGATATGATAAGCCAGATGTTGGGAGATTGAAGGGAAAAGGAGGTGTTGGGGTGGACACCCAACTTGGTAGGTGATGGAAAAAGGGAAGACTGGGAGGAGGACAAGCTGTTTGGTTTGGTTTGGATTGGTGAGAGGTTGTATGGAGAAAATCATGAATTCAGTCTTAGATATGCTGATTTAAAAATGCCTTTAAGTTGGCAATTGTATATATGAGTCTGGAGCCCGGGGACAGAAATAGTCACTGTCACAGTATGTTATTTAGAATTTTAGGAGTTGATGAGATTTCCCAGAAATGGAATATAGAGTTGATAAGAGAAGAGGTTTTAGACTTAATCTTAAAGAACTCCATCACCTGAAAATTTGATAAAAGATGTACCAGCAAAAGATAAAGGGAAGTTACTGTCAGAGAATTAAGAGGAAAATCTGGAGGGTGTCATGTAGGAAGAACCATTGGAAGAGAATCTTAAGAAAGAAGTGTCTAATGCCACTGAAAGATCAAGGAAGATGAAGTTGAAAGTTATCATTGGATTTGGCAACAGAGGAGGGCCACTTCATTGGATGAAGAAGATGGCAGAGGCCAAAGCCAGATATTAAAAGGAGTTGAGGAGTGCTCTGGAAGTGAAGAAATGGAAAGGAATGTAGCATTCTGTGATATAAAACAAATGGTAATGTGTTGCAAACACTGTCCTAGTCATCTAGTGCTGCTGTAACAGAAATACCACTAGTGGATGGCTTTAACAAAGAGAATTTATTCTCTCACACTATAGTAGGCTACAAGTCCAAATTCAGGGCGTCAGGCACAGGGAAAGGCTTTCTCTTTCTCTGTCAGCTCTGACGGAAGTTTCTTGTCATCAATCTTCCCCTGGTTGTGGAGCTTCTCAGCACAGACCCCAGGTCCAAAGGATGCTCTATTCTCCTGGCTCTTGTTTCTTGGTAGTATGAGATCCCCATGTCTCTCTGCTCGCTTCTCTCTTATATATCTTAAAAGAGATTGGCTTAAAACACAGTCTAATCTTGTAATTGCCTTCTTAACATAACTGCAATAATCCCACCTCATCAATGTCCTAGAGAAAGGATTTACAACACACAGGAAAATCACATCAGATGACAAAATGGTGGACAATCACACAATATTGGGAATCATGGCCTAGCCAAATTGACAGACATTTTGGGGAGACACAATTCAATCTATAACAAACGCTGAGATTCCCACCACCAACCCCCACCCCACCTTTGCTTGTGCTGTTCTTCTTTCTGCAGGGAATGCTTCCACTTGCTTTCTTGGGTCATTCCTTCATCCTTTAAGACCTAGCTTAGATAAAACCCTGCCCATAAAACCTTTTTTTCCTCCTTAAGAATATGAACTTTGTCTTATTCATGAGTGGATTCCTAGTATTTAACAAAACATAAGCTCTTAAGTATACTGATGGGACTGATAATCAAAACATGGACTTTTTAATTAGGTAAACCTGAAAGTGGGTGCTTGTTCAGGTGCTTACTAACTATGTGACCTGGCAAAGTTTACTTTATCCTCTGTGCCTCAGTTTTCTCATCAGTAAAATGAAGATAATAATTATTCCTACTCCATACATTTTCTATGCACAGTAAGTTAATTAATGCATGAAAAACACTTAGTAAAGTGCCTGGTATAGCAAGCATTCAGTAAATGTTAGCCATTATATCCATTGCTTTGGGATTATTTCTGTGAATAGGTTTCAAGTGTGTTATGCCCTTTTCCTTCCCACCATCTCACATCCCCATATCATTTGCCAGATGTTCACATTATAGAATCAAAATAGCATAATATTGACTTTCTTTTTCCCAGGATTGATCATGTCCGATGGCCAGGAGTGGAAGGAGCAAAGAAAGTTTGCTCTGACAACGCTAAGGAATTTTGGTTTAGGAAAGAAGAGCTTAGAAGAACGCATTCAGGCGGAAGCCCGCCACCTCCTGGAGGAAATAGGAGAGGAGAAAGGTGAGGGTTTCATAGGACAGGTGCAGGAGTTTATGGCTCATTCATTCACTGAGCAGATACTTATTAAGTGCCCAGGTTTCTTTCCCGTGCCTAGCACTGTGTTAGGTACTAAACCTGTAAGAGTGAACAACTAACCATGGCCCCTGACCCCATGGAATTCATTACAAGAAGACAGGCATTAAACACGTTACTGAATTTAAGCTCTGGCCGTAATTTTGACTCCACTAGCATGGCCTGAGTACTTGCTATTTGTCAGATCCTGTGCAGGGTCCTGTGGCCAGAGTTTCGTATGTGGTATGTTATATGTCATATAGAGTAGACGTTCCTTAGAAAGCAGAAACAGATCAATTGGAAGGATCCATCTCTTCCTTCCCTTGCCTCTAGGACAGCCTTTTGACCCTCACTTGATGATCAACAATGCAGTTTCCAATATCATTTGCTCCATTACCTTTGGGGAGGGTTTTGAGTACCAGGATGGTCAGTTTCAGGAGCTGCTGAAGTTGCTGGATGAAGTCATGTATCTGGAAACCTCAGTGTGGTGCCAGGTAAGCAGTTCTCTTTCCACATCTTGGTTAAGGATACTGGACTGGTGTCAGACACACATGGGTTTTTCCTTTTTTATTTTTTAGCTAAAATATAACCTTTTTAATTGACTTAAACAAAAATTTATTTGAAATCAATCTGTTGACTTTACTGTTTTTAATAATATTAAATATGTATACAAAGAACATTTCTAACAGAGATGTAAAGTACGAAATTTCATAATGCATGCACCTATGTACCTGTGTTATTCTTTTTAAAGAATATAGCAATATTGCATTGCCTTTGAGTCCCTCTTCTCTATGTCCCTTTTTAATCCCAACCCTTTTCCTTCTTCCTCTAGGTACTCTCCTGTGTCTGGCTTCTTGCTCAGCACACTGTTTTCTGATCAGTCTGTTGATTGCTCTTTTTTAATGTTGATTCACATTCCATTGTATGAATATGCCACTGTTTGTTAATCTATTTTCTATTAATAAACCTTTGAGTCATTTCCAGTCTTTGCATGCTATGAAGAAAGCTACCACGAACATTCTTGAACAAGTGTTTTTGTGGACATACCCACTCATTTATTTTGCATTATGTCCCTGGAAGTAAAAGATGTCAAAATGTTTCCAGAGTGGCTGTACTATTTACACGTCCACCAACACTTGGCTATCATCAGTCTTTTAAATTTTTAGGGTGTTGCCCTTTGGGGTCCAAACCTCCATACTCTTTCTTGATGGGCCACAAGCTCTGGTTTTTGTCCCTCTAGGTCTGTAAGTCTATCAAAAACTGCTCAGCTTCTTGGTTTACTCAGCAACTTTCAGGGATTTGGAAGACACTGCTAGGGGGGAATTGACCACAAATGTTGAGCCTCTCTGCATTTCCTTCTTCCTCTAGACTTTATCCCTGAAATTCCTCACTATCTTGGGATATGTGTGTGTTTGTGAGTTTGAATCTTATCTTGGAGTTCTCAGTAGGAGGGTTAGCCTAAATTATCTAGTCTGCCATTACCAAAATTGAAAAATTGCCTCATTAAAAAAAAATTTTTTTTAAACTACAAACGTATATAAAAGTAGAGAAAATAATGAATAATGAATCTCACTGTATACCCATCAGTCAGCTCCAACAGCTATCAACACATGGAAAATCTCATTTATCTGTACCCATACTCCACTATTGCCCCCTACTCCTGGATTATTTTGGAGCAAATTACAGACCTCAGTTTTTCAATCCATAAATATTTCAGTATATTTTTCTGAAAGGGCCTATTTTAATAAAAATGAAATATTACTACACCTGAAAAATATTAACAATTCTTTTATGTCATCAAATACCTAGCCAGTGTCCAGATTTCCCCACACGTCTTATAAATATTTTTTATGGTTATTTTCTTTGAATCAGAAGCCAAACTAAGCCTATGTATTGTATTTAGTTGCGATGTCTTTCAAGTCTCATTTAACATTTAATCTATGGCTTCATGCACATTCCCCCCATGTACCGCCACTATTTTTTTTTTTTTTTTTTTTGCAATTTGTTTATTGACAAAACTGGGTCATTTCTCCTGTAGAGCATTCCACATTCTGTAGTATTCTGATTGCATTCCTTTGACATTTAATATGTTGTTCTATCTCTGCATTTTATACATTGGTAATTAATTCTAGAGAATTGATTAGAATCAGGTTTGCTTTTAGAAAGACTACCTTTTTAGGAGGTACATAATGTCTGGTTGTCTCTCTTTTTTAGGTTAAAATTGATCAGTGTGTTCGTGTATTTTCAGCCTAATCTATCTATTATAGCATCCCCCATCAGGTCTTTACCTGGTAGTTTTAGAAATCACTGATAATCGTTGCTGATATCCATTTTTTTTGGAAGGTTCGAATTGGTTATATTCTAATTCTTTTATTCCTTCTTTGCAATTGACTTTTGATTACTGATATTGCATTAATCAACTTTGATTCATTCTTATTAATATTTTAATTAGTCTGTGGATGACTTCATAGACAATTCTATCATGTGTAAATAATGATATCTTTGTTTTTTCCTTTCCAATCCTTATAGCATTAATTTCTTTTTCTTACTTCTTTGTGCTGGCTAGTGTAGAGAGTAAAGTGACCGCGAGTGATAAGAAAGTTGGTGATGGTTAAGCAAGGACCAGCTTATATAAGGGCTTCGAGGCCCAGGTAATCAAGTAAAAGTATTTTCTGAGTGTAATGGAAAGCCATTGGACGATAGGATTGAGAGCCAAGGAGTGAAATGATCTGATTAAACTGTTAAGTGATCACTGGCAGCTCTGTGGGAAATAGACGGGGACTGGGGATGATGGTGAAATCAGGAAAACTGTTGGAGGCTATCACAGCACCCAGGTAAGATATTATGGTGGTTTGCACTAGGTGGTTTGAACTGTGCCAAGCAGTTGGGGTGGTGAAAATGGTCTGAGGCTGGACATATTTTGGATGGAGAACTAAAATGCTTTTCTAGAAGGGTGAGAGAGAAAGAGGAGTCAAGGGTGACTCCAAGGTTTAAGTGTAAGCAAATAAAAGAGAGAGAGATGGGAAGAGAAGACTGATTCTGTGGCCTTAAAGTGTGGAAAAGTAGCAGTATGTTGTCTCCATGTTTGGTTTGTTTTTATCAGTTAGCTCTACATTGTCTTTCCCCGGATAATGAAATTCCTTCCTGGACTTCACCGAACACTCTTTAGCAACTGGGAGAAATTGAAATTGTTTGTTTCTCTTATGATTGAAAAATACAAGAAAGATTGGAATCCTGATGAACCGAGAGACTTTATTGATGTTTACCTCAAGGAAATGACAAAGGTGAGGAAATCAAAGCTGTTTCCTATGTTTTGTTCTTTAAGAGCAAATGGGCAAATGGGGGAGTATTATCTTCCTATTATTTTTTATAATAAATTATCTGCTGTAATAAATTATCATAAACTTATTGGCTTAAACAATATAAATATATTCTCTTACAGCTCTGGAGGTCAGAAGTTTAGAATCAGTTTCACTGGACAAAAGTCCAGGCATCAGTATTTCTGGCTCCTTCTGGAGGCTCTGAGGAGTTTTGTTTCCTTGCCTTTTCCAGCTTTTAGAGGCTGCCCGCGTTCCTTGGATCATTTCCCTTCCTCCATCTTCAAAGCCAGCAGCATAGCATCTTCTCTCTTCTCTGACCACTGCTTCTTTCTGTCCTTGTATATGCTCTTTGACTCCCTTGCCTCCCTCTTATAATGCCCTTCATGACAACATTGGACCCATCTGGATAATCCAGTATAATACCCTCATCTCAAGATCCTGAACTTAATCACATCTGCAAACTCCTTTTTCTATAAACCAAAACCCATTGCCTTCAAGTGGATTCCAATTCATAGAGTAGAACTGCCCAGTAGGGTTTCCAAGGTTATAAATCTTTATGGAAGCAGATTGCCACATCTTTCTCCCATGGAGCCACTGGTAGGTTTAAACCAACCTTTCAGTTAGCAGCCGAGCACTTAACACCATTGTGCCAGCAGAGCTCCTTCCCTTTTCTGTATAAGGCAACATATTCACAAGTTCTAGGGTTTAGAACGAGGACGTTTTTGAAAGTCATTATTCAGCTTACCACAGAGGGGAAAAATGGGCGCTATTTCAGAGTGTAGAAGTAGCGTTAACTCAGGATTGATGAGACAATTGGAAATAAAGACAGGGGTTTAATGGTATTTGGCTTGAGGCCCTGGGAATACCCAAATACTGCCTTCTCATCCCCCATGCCTACCCTCTACTACCCTTATCTGAAGGAGCTGTACACAAAAGGGAAAATAGAAATTGAGCATGAAACCACTGTTGTAGTATTAGATAGGTCTGTGCCCAGTTACTTGAGGAGACCTGGTGGCGCAGCGTTTAAGCACTCAGCTGCTAACCGAAAGGCCAGCGGTTCTAACCCCCCAGCTGCTCCTTGGGAGAAAGATGTGGCAATCTGATTCTGCAAAGATTACACCTTTTGGAGACCCTATGGGGCAGTTCTACTCTATCCTGTAGGGTTTCACTATGAGTCAGAATCTACTCGATGGCAACAGTTTTGGTTTTGGTTTAGAGCCCTGGTGGCACAGTGGTTAAGAGCTTGGCTGCTAACCACAGGGTCGGCAATTTGAATCCACCAGTCGCTCCTTGGAAACCCTATGGGGCAGTTCTACTCTGTCCTACAGGGTCACTATGAGTCAGAATGGACGGCAAGATTTTTTTTTTTTTTTTTTTGTTGCCCAGTTATCTACTCCTATCTCCAGCCCTAGTATCAGAACCCAAGTAAAGCTGAATTGGACCTCCGAGTTTAGCCTCAGGGCCTAGGTGAGGCTTTTTCCTCCACCCACCCCTGTATCATTTACTTTCCAACATTATAGAAAAGAAGCAGGAAGAAAGCCAGATTGAATGGATGGCCTTTGACACAGTGACCCTTCCACTTAATATACATCACTGAATCAGTGTCTTGACTTTTGACTCTTCAGATTAATGGTTCCTCTTCCTGGAGTAGGCAGATTGGTGGATTTCTTTCCACCTCTTCCCTTATTTCACCCTGTTGGCATAGAATTAATAGAAGCATTGTTTTCTTCTCAAAGGAAGAGACTGTACTTGCTATATGGTGTTCCAGTATGGGACCACTCATTAAGAGGAATGTTGATAAATTGAAGGATCCAGAGGAAAATGATAGTGTCGGGAGGAACAAGTGATAGAATTAGAGAGGTTAACCTGAAAAGGAAAATGGGCATGGGGAGATAAGAGAATTGTTGTATGAAAGGGGAATTGAGATTATTTTTTTTGATAACAGTAAAACACTTGTTGATTATTTGCTGTGTTCCTCTTGCATGTCAGACAGCTCATCATGTAGTCTTAAGAGGTTATTTCCATTTTACAGTACAGGAAACTGAAGCACAGAGAGATTAAGTAACTTGCCCTAAGTCATACAGCTAGTGAGGATGTGGCTGACATTGGAACTCAAGTCTGTCTTTTTCACAGTCCATTCTCTTTCCTGCTCCCCAAATTATAGGTGTAAGAAAATGATTGTATTGATTTTCATCTGCTCAAGTGCTGGAAGCCCTAGGTAGCTTCCAGTACTTGGGGCAAGACGATGCTAATAATATTGCTGTAATACCCTATGCCTTCTGAGGAAGCCAAAGGGGAAGTCATTTCTCCTAGGGATCTTTCTTTCCAAATCCCTTACCTAGGATGATGCCCCTGTGTTTTGTGGCAACTATGACTAAATCAATAAACATTTTTCTTTCTAGCATACAGGCAATGCTACTTCAAGTTTCCATGAAGAAAACCTTGTCTGCAGCACACTGGATCTCTTCTTTGCTAGAACAGAGACAACTTCTACAATGCTGCGCTAGGCTCTGCTTTACCTGGCCATCTACCCAGAAATCCAAGGTGAACATTCGTGGGCCTAGGCCAGGCCAGATGAATGCCTCCTGGAACATACTGCCCTAGGGTTCGGACCAGAAGATAGCATGGTAGAATGAAAAGACAGAAAAAATCACGAAGTAGACTCAAGACCCAGCACATTCTTTAATTTTTCTGTCAGGAATTGTGATGGGTCCTGGTAATGCAAATATAACAGGGTCTTCGCTCAAGAAGCTGAGAATCTCGTGGGGAAAACAATAAAGTCAATTGACACTGTATTGAACTTCACAAAAAAGTTACATTCTTGTATGAAAATCTGGTCTTTTAAGTAATGACTTGCCATTGCCCTCTAGATATACAATTGCCCTCAGTATGGTATACAATATCCTCAGATGTGCCCTTTTCTATCAGCTTCAACCTCACCCACTGTCTTAGTCATCTAGTACTGCTATAACAGAAATACCACAAGTAGATGGCTTTAACATAGGGAAATTTATTCTCTCACAGCCTAGTAGGCTACAAGTCCAAATTCAGGGCATCAGCTCCAGGGGAAGGCTTTCTGTCTCTGTTGGCTCTGGAGGAAGGTCCTTGTCATCAGTCTTCCCTTGGTCTGAGAGCATCTTGGTGCAGGAACCTCAGGTCCAAAGGATGTGCTCTGCTCACGGTGCTGCTTTCTTGGTGGTATGAGGTTCCCATGTGTCTCTGCTCACTTTTCTCTTTTATATCTCAAAAGAGATTGGCTTAACACACTATCTAATCTTGTAAACCTCATCAGTATAACTGCCGCTAATCTATCATATTACATCGTAGTGATAGAGTTTACAACACATAAGGAAATCACATCAGATAACAAAATGGTACTCAATCATACAATAGTGGGAATCATGACCCAGCCAAGTGACAGATATTTTTGGGGAACACAATTCAATCCATGACAGCCACTCTGCATGCTGGCCTCACTAAATCACATGTCATTTTTCCATTGCACTGTTCTTATTATATCTCTGTTCATTCACATGTGCTGTTCCCTCTACCAAGAATGCACTTCCCCAATTTCCCTGAATAGCAAACTTCAAGCTCTTCTTGAAGAATCCGATCAGATGCGCTCTCCTTTATGATGTGTTCCCACTCTTTGAAGAAATTACCAGCATTTTCTTTCTTTAGAGACAAAGGGAATGCACAACTTTTCCTTTAACGGCATGTTTGAAGTGTTAAACATCACTTCTACACACATTCTCTTGACCAGAACTTAGTCACATGATCACACAGTTGCAAGGGAGTCTGGGAAATGTAGTTTTTACCTGGGCAACCAGTTAAAATCTTTATTACTATAGAAAAAGAGAAGAACAGATATTGGGGGACAGCTAACAGTTTCTGTCATTTATTGGGTTCTCACCTAAATCAGTTCATGCAATTCTCAAAATATCTTTAAGAAGAATGTAGATTTATCCCTACTAATCAGATGAGGAATCTGAGGCTGAGAAAGTTTAACTAACTTGCAAAATTAATGTTGTAGAGCAAGAGTTTGATCCAGATTTGTCTTACACCAGGACTCATTTCTCACTCTTATATACCTCCTTGAGAAACTAGAGTCTATAGAACTTACGTTAATCTTAATAGCCACAACAATGAACTCAAACACACCAACGATGATGAAGTTGACTCAGGAGCTGGCAGTGTTTCCTTCTATTATACATAAAGTCACCATGAGTCAGAGCCAACTCAGTGACAACTAATAACAATAACAACACTATAATCTTAGCCATTTTGACCCTGGTTATTCCATTCCTTAGCTTAACCAGGCTCAAAAAAATTAAGACATTGCAATTTTTCTGAATAAGCCTGTCTTAGTCATCTCTTGCTGCTCCAACAAAAATACTACAGGTGGATGGTTTTAGCAAAGAGAAGTTTATTCTCTCACAGTCCAGTAGGCTAGAAGTCCAAATTCAGGGAGTCAGCTCCAGGGGAAGGCTTTCTCTCTCTGTTTGCTCTGGAAGAAGGTCCTCGTCATCATCAGTCTTCCCCCAGACTAAGAGCATCTCTGCACTGGAACCTCGGGTCCAAAGGACATGCTCTGCACCCGGTGATTCTTTCTTGGTGCTATGAGGTCCCCAATTCTCTGCAGGCCACACCCCAGGGAAACTCCCTTTACATTGGATCAGTGATATGACCTGAGTAAGGGTGGTGTTGCAATTCCATTGTAATTCTCTTTAACGTAAAATTACAACCACAAAATGGAGGACAACCACACAACCCTGGGAATCACAGCCTAGCCAAACTGATACACACATTTTTTTGGGGGACACAGTTCAATCCATGACAAAGCCCTTTGAAGGATTAAGAACCATTTATTTCTAACCTGATCACTAATTGAAATACAACAGGTGAAACCTTGGAGACCACCACTACATCTCTGGAGGAAAGCATGAAAGTTTAAAAAATAATAGAACCTTCTCTTCTTTTCCAGAGAAAGTACAAGCTGAGATCAATGGAGCAATTGGCAAGTCACGGCAGCCCAGCATGAACGACTGAGAACACATGCCCTACACCCATGCTGTCATCCATGAGGTGCAGAGAATGTGTAACATCATCCCCCTGAACGTGCCCAGAGAAGTGACGTTTGATACTGCTGTGGCTGGATACTTCCCGCCAAAGGTAACCAGGGACTCTCAGTCTCAGGTCTTCCATCTTTTTTAGACAGTAGGAATCTGAATTTGAAAAGTGACACTTATTCATATCCTAGGCAATCACTCAAACTGGGAGAGAAAGATATTATACCTAATGTAATACTATTTTTTTCTCCAAGTATGGGCTTTAGAACATTCGTACACCTAGGTTAATAGGTATTGGTGGGAAGATGGGGAATTCTGTGGCCAAATAAGCTTAGGGAAAGACTTAAAAACTTCTCAGAGTTTTTACTATAGTAATTTGCATTGGAGGGCAGTGGGGTTCAGTGGTAAAATTCTCACCTTCCATGCAGGCGACCTGGATTTAATTTCCGGCCAATGCACCTCAATGCAGTTTGAAACCACCAGTGGCTCTGTGGGAGAAAGACGTGGCAGTCTGCTTCTGTAAAGATTTACAGCCTTGGAAACCCTATGAGGTTGCTACAAGTCAGAATTAACTTGATGGCAGTAGGTTTTTGGGCACCTCAGCACAGCCACTACCAGTCTGGCAGAGGAGGTTCAAGTGTTGCTACGATGCTGAACAGGTTTCAGCAGAGCTTCCAGACTAGGAAGACAGACTCAGAAGAAAGGCCTGCTGATCTGCTTCTGAAAATCAGCCAATGAAAACTCTGTGGATCACAACAGTCTGATACTGTTGTGTGTGGGTCGCCATGAGTTGGGGGCAACTTGATGGCAGCTAACAACAACAGTGTGCATTGTGAATCTTTGTGGGAGACAGCAGGCAGCAGTTCTCAGTCATACCTTGCCACAGAACCCTTTTCTTTCTCAATAGAACATGTCAAAGGACTAGGCACTTGCTGCATGTAATCCTGGGGCTATGGAATGTTAAAATGTGAAGAGACATTTGAGAACACCTGAGTCAACATCACATTAATGCTGGTTTTTCAAATGTAATATCCCCACAGGTATTTTTCCAGCTTTCACTTCCAGCCCCAGTGATAGGGAACTTACTGTCACAAAAGGGAAACCAACCCAGGTGTCTGCAACATTAATTATTAGAGTGAGAAAGGAGCCAGCATTTATCAAGTAATGATTGTGTGCCGTGGACTATCGAGGTTCTTTCAAAAAGTCTCACTCAGTCCTCAGAATAATTCTTTGTTATACCCATCTATGAGGAGTCCTGGTGGCGCAGTGGTTAAGCGCTCACCTGCTAACCAAGAGATCGGCAGTTTGAATCCACCAGCCGCTACTTGGAAATCCTGTGGGGCAGTTCTACTCTGTCCTGTAGGCTTGCTATGAGTCGGAATCGACTCGACAGCAACAGGTTTTGGTATACCCATCTTTTAGATTGGGAGGTTGAGGCTCAGAGAAATTAAGTACCCTGCCTAAGGTCTCCCAACTGCTAAGTCACAGAGAGGGGATCCAGAATCAGATCTGTTCTGATGCCAAGGCTTGTCATCTTTTTTGTGCTGCACCACGTTCCCTCCACAGCAGTTGCTTTACTTGGACTTTAAAATTAGAGTCTCCCTGTAATTTTCCTCAATTGTTGCTGTTGTTAGAGTCAGCCATACACTCATGGCAAGCCCGTGCACAAGGGAACAAAACACTGCCCAGTCCTGTGCATCCCTGTGATTACTTGTGGATCGGACCATTGTGATCCACAGAGTTTTCAGCGGCTGATTTTTGGAAGTAGATTGCTGTTAAATTCCCTAGTCCACACAAAGGAATTCTGATCCCACTCTCTCCACCACTCAAGATCTTTGCAGACAGCCCTCCTCTTCCCTCTAATGTCCTCTCTAGAGACTGTACATTCTCACATCTCTTCCCTTGTTTTCTCACCACCTGGGCCAGCCTCTGGGGATCAATTCCAGTGTGTCTACGTTCCTCCGAGTATGTCACACCCAGGAACAAGCTGAAGGGGCAGAAACAAAGGAGCTTCACTTATCCCTTGGTCACCCCTTGGTTACTCCTTGGTCACCCCTTGGACACTGTCACTGCAGAGCCAGGAAAAGCAGCTGTGCATGCACTGATTTCCTTATTGACTGATCATCTTGTGGTGCGGGTTGAACTCTAAATTCTAAGCGTTGTTTATGTTTTTCTAGCAAACTCATTGAACTTCAAGGAACCAGCCCCGCTCAACAGACCCCTTCTACTACTGATTTTTAAAGTCAACTTTAATAACCAGCCTGGGAACTAACAGATCTAGTTGACCATCTGATATAGAGACTGGGAGCCAAGGCATCAGACAGACCTGGTTCAAATCATGGCTCTGCTCTTACAGCTTTAATTTCTTCATCTGTAAAGTGCATGTAAAACTTCTCTGGTAGGATCCATCTAGAGGTAAAATGAGGTCATTTATGTAGAGCACTTTACCTACTGTTTGTTGTAGAGAGTGCCCAAAATAGAAATTATTCTTTATTAACTCAACAAATATTCATTAAACACCTAATGTGCTCACTTCTGAAGGAACAACCCTGAGCAAGAAAACAATCACACAAATGATTAGGCTAGATAATTAGAAACCCTGAAAAACATACAGGGTGCTATAAAATGCAAATTAGCTGGAGCAGGGAGTAGGAGCAGGAGTGGTCCAAGAAGGCTTCCAAAAGGAAGTGATGTTTGGACTGAGATTTAAAGAATGATTAAGGGTAGCTTGGTGACAAAGTGGGGAAAAAGAACATTCCAGGCAGGGGGAAGGACATTTTTAAAAGCCTTGAAGTGAGTGGGAACGTGGCATGTTTGAGAAATTGAAAGAAGGCCTCTGTAGTGGGAATGCAGGCAGGAAGAGGAAGGTGGCCCAGACAAGGTCAGATGATGGGTCTTTAACTTAAGAGTGATGTGAACATACTGAAGGGTTTCAAGTTTGAGGTGAGAGTGGATGGGTGAGTGTTGTGTGGTTTAATTATTTTCAATGCTCACTCTGCTTTCAGGATGCAGGGTAGATTAAAAGGGCAAGAGAGGGTGTGGGGCATACTTGTTAGCTGCCATAGAATTAGACCTCAACTCCTGGAGACTCCATGCACTGTAGGATCAGACCGTTGTGATCCATAGGGTTTTCATTGGCTGATTTTTGTAAGTAGATCACCAGGCCTTTGTTCATAGTCTGTCTTAGTCTGGAAGCTCTGCTAAAACCTGTTTAGCATCACAGCAACATGTCAATCACCACTGACAGGTGGTGGCTGTGCTTGAGGTGCATTGGCCAGGAATCAAACCCAGGTCTCCTGCATGGAAGGTGAGAATTCTACCACTGAACCACCACTGCCCTCAGGACATAGTTAGGAGGCTATTATAGGCATATAAACAAGTAAAGTGGTAGCCTGGGCTAGGGTGGTGACAGTGGACATGGACTCAAGGTGATAGAATGAAGAGAAATTCAGGAAGTAAAATCTGCCATTCTTGCTGATGGATTGGATGAAGGCAGAGTGAGGGGAAAGGATGTATTAAGGACAACTCCTGGGTTTCTTGCTTATGTGACTGGATGAAGATTGGTGCTTTCCACTGGGCTACCCTCACTGAGCAGCCAGATTGATTTTGGTACAATGCTGTCTGGCCAGCTGCTCCATTATTTTCTTCCTGCTGCATATATGTCCCCTCCCAAGTCCTACACTGACCTGTCCCTTTAGAGAAGATACATTCCACAGTCAATAGAAGCCAAACTTCCCTGGTAAAATTCCCAGCAGGCAGTTCCAATCCATCCCTGTGAACTGTCCCATGGCAAAGAGTAGGGTCCTGGGGGGTTGGGTTCAGGAGACAGTGGGCTTGGGAGGGTAAGGGAGTTCAGGGTGTGGTCAGGGTGGAGGATCCTGAGGACTGCCACCTTCTGTGTAAGCATATTGTGTGGGTCAAGCCTTGCCTGAGTCTTTGCTACCTTCTCTAGGGGACTGTGATCAGGGACCCTGCAGAGTGGGCCACCCCTGAAACATTCAGTCCTGAGCATTTTCTGGAGAATGGGCGGTTTAAGAAAAGGGAAGCCTTTCTGCCTTTCTCAACAGGTAAGTTGTAATAAATAGGAGTGTGAAGATCCAAAGTCCCTCTTTCAGCCCTTCCCCATTCCCCTCCCAGTAGTCTTTTGCTTTAGTTGGAATGTCTTCAGATGGCCCTGCCCAACATGACTCCATCTTGTCGTTGGTTGCAGCCCCAGGATTCTCAGGCTGGGCACTGCTTTAAACTGCCCCTTACATCCTGAGCCCTCGCTTGCCTCTGATGGAGATTTCAGCCTCGCTTTGTTCTGCCCCTCTAGAGTACTGGGGACAGAGAAACCCAGACCCCGCCTCTTGCTTAAAAAGAAGGTTGGACAACTGCCATCTTTACAGAGTTTTAAAATGTCCCAAGTTCTTTTTAAGGACTGCCTCCCTCATGCAGAAATAGAGTTGGTTTATAATGAGGAGATGAGAAGGGGGCAAAGGAAGTGGTCTACTCACAATCGTTGGTATCAGACAGTGACTTTAAGTGTCATGGACTTAACTAATCAGGATCTACTCTGTAAACACTCCCTGAAGAAGTTCTTTCGCCTTTTTAAAGTTTAATTACCTTTTCAAAATCAAGTGAATACATGTGCATGGTACACACACTGAAAGGGACAGAAGAGGTTGCAGTGACAGCTATCGTATTTCCAGGCCAGTTCTGAAAGGGTTTTTTGTTTGTTTGTTTTTTATTTGTTTTTGCTTAACTCACAATATTGTAAAATGAAAAATAAAAATTCTTATCAGATTCCAGGTATTGAGTTAGATATGTCACATGCATTATTTCAAGTAATTTCCCAATGCTTTAGTTCCATAAATACTTACTGAGAATCTATTATGTGTCAAGCATTCAGCCCTGAGGATATGAGAGTGAATAATATAGAAAAAATAAGCCTGCTGACATACAGCATATATTCTAGTGTAGCCTTACAAAGTCCAAATTACTATCTCCACTAGAGCGATAAGGACACTGAGGCTTACAGGGATTAGTATGGCAACTAAAGTGATAAAACTCATACTTGGCAGTGCCAGGACTTGATGCCAACCAGATTTGTGGAACACCAAAACCTGTGCTCTTTATAGCAGTGTCTCCTAACAGTAACTAAACTCCACACAGAATTCATAGTAGAGACTGCAAGATAGTTTGCTTATCCTTTACTTGAAATAAAATATACACTGGTTTTCTGAAACCGTGTTATCTTGCTGATGACACTAAAGCTCAAAGAGAAAGGTAAGAGCTGGAATTTGAACCCAAGTTGGGGGACTCCAAAGCTCAAGCTTTTCCACAGTGCTGCCTTGCCTTAAGTGTATCTGGGCTAATTCTAATTACATCCTCTCTGTCTGTCTTCATCTGGTTCTCTGTCACCTTTGTTCACATTGGATGAGTCACTTCCTGATAATGAAAGCTGATACTTGGGAATATCTTGCAGTCATCCTGTCAGCAATAGCTTCAAGTTTTGTGTCACAGCACAAACTTCCAGCCGGATAATTCAGTTAATGCAATTATTCTTGTTCATTAGATCTTGCACCAGATCCACGTGGTGCTGAAATACTAGAAATGTGGCCCTTTGTGTATCCCACAAAAATGCCTTCACCCAATGCTTGCCGTAACTTTGATGAGAGCAGTGTTATTTTTTTCTTTTTTTTTATTGTTGTAATTAAATGAAGTTTACATTTCAAGTTACTGTCCCATACAAAGTTTTTATACATACACTGTTATGAGACCCTAATTGCTCACCCCATTCTGTGACAGCACACGCCTCCTTTCTGCCCCTGATTCCCCATGACCATTCAACCAGCTCCTAACCCTCTCTGCCTTCCCATCTCACCTCTGAACAGAAGCTGTCCCTTGGTCTCTTATGTCTACTTGACTAAGAGGCACACTCTTCATGAGTATCACTTTATGTGCCACAGTCCAGTCCAATCCCTGTCTGAAGAGTTGGCCTCGGAAATTGTTTTAGTTCTGGGCTGATAGAGAGTCCAAGGGCCATGCTTTTCGGGGCACCTCCAGTCTCACTCAGACCATTAAGTCTGGTCTTCTTACTAGAATTTGAGTTCTGCACCCCATCCTTCTACGGCTCCCTCAGGGACTCTCTGATGTGTTCCCTGTCAGAACGTTCATTGGTGGTAGCAGGGCACCATCTAGTTCTTTTGGTCTCAGGCCGATGAAGTCTCTGTTTTATGTGGCCCATTCTATCTCTTGGGCTAATACTTTCCTTGTGTCTTTGGTGTTCTTCGTTCTCCTTTACTCCAAGTGGTTGGGACCAATTGATGCATCTTAGATGGCCGCTTGTAAGCTTTTAAGACCCCAGACACCACTCACCAAAGTAGGATGCAGAACATTTTCTTAATAAGCTTGGTTGTGCCAATTGACCTAGATGTCCCCTGAAAGCATGCTCCCCAGACCCCTACCCCTGCTACTCTATCTCTCAAAGTATTTGATTATATTTAGGAAACTTCTTAGCTTTGGTTTAGTCCAGTTGTGGACTTCCCCTGTAGTGTGTGCTGTCCTTCCCTTCACCTAAGATGATTCTTATCTACTACCTAGTTAGTGAATAACCCTCACCCTCCCTCCCCACCCCCATAACCATCAAAGAATGTTTTCTTCTGTATTTAAACCTTTTCTTGAGTTCTTATAATAATGGTCTTATATAGTATTTGTCCTTCTGTGACTGACTAAATTCACTCAGCATAATAAATTCCAGCTTCCACCATGTTCTACGATCTTTCACAGCTTCATCGTTGTTCTTTATCATTGCGTAGTATTCCATTGTGTGGTATACCATAATTTGTTTATCCATTCTTCCATTGATGGGCACCTAGGTTGCTTCCATCTTTTTGCTATTGTGAACACTGCTACAATCAACATGGGTGTGTATTCGTGTGATGGCTCTTATTTCTCTAGGATATATTCCTAGGAGCAGGATAGCTGGATCGTATGGAACTTCTATTTCTAGCTTTTTAAGGAAGCGCCAAATCAATTTCCAAAGTGGTTGTACCATTTTACATTCCCACCAACAGTGTATAAGTGTTCCAGTCTCTC